CGTTAACACTTCTTAACCTCGTTCATTTTTCACACTGATGCACATTTGCTGTCGCTGGCTTTGTCATGTTCCATAACCTCCCATTCTTCTCACATTGACTCTCAAAACTCGATTCAAATATTTTGGTATGATTTGCCCCGCCGACACATCTTTTTTGACCATAACTCTCTCAAATATAACGATCGTATACGGATCGTGGACCTTTCGTTCGCATTCGTGTCTCCTCAACACTTCTGCCACGCACCGGTCATCTTACCGAGCAGAAGTACTAAGTCATTGATTATCTATGGTCAGTCAGTTGAAATCATTTCTCAGTGCTTCTATCTATGTTCATATGTTGTAATGTCCCATGATTAATCAAATAACAGCTTGCATTGTTACAAAGAAAGATACAAAGGGCACTATACTATATAATAACAGATTAAAGCAGTGGCATAAAAATTTTAAAATAGATCTTCATTATGATTTATTGGGCAGAGCCCTATATCTAAATGATATGCATACAAATATGCTATGTTCATTCATGCCATGTTGCCCATTTTACAGAATTCACAATACTTCAATAATGGGCAATCCAGGATGCAGTACCTCTGGATTATAAGTGACATGTAGTGAATGTGTATAAATTGTTTATACAGTATCATGGATAAGAGAAGAATACTTTTGAGGAACGATTGAATATCTACTGTAAATGTTAGGCTGGTGCTGCCCCAATCACTACTTACGGGCAATGAGAAGCCTTTCAGTTCCAGCGTAGTCAAGTCTGCATTCTGCACAGTACGACTTGTGTGACGGATGAATATATGGCGGCCAGCCAGAATATACTTCTGCGATACATGCAGTCTCGTCATCCGACGTGCTCGCCCCTCTCGATCTGCGCTGTGCCATCGCTCCCCACTCACGGATCGCGATCCGTACCTTCCACATCCATCCCAATCTCACGTGTCTGACCATCACACCCGGACCGCCATGCAGTGTATTCAACATGTACAGTAGTTCTGTAACACCATAAGAAATGGAGACGTAACGTAAATCGCCCAGGCCGCGTACATGGGAGCCGCTTCGCCCACCACACGTCAAGAGCGGCCGCCCGCGGGAGAGACATAACGTCGCACGTTCGAACCTCAACGGGAATGTGCATCTATTGCATGGGTGAACTGAGAACTCACAATGGCGTGAGAGCTCTCGCCCTGATGCTCTGTTCATCCCGACGACTCGGGCTTCCTCTGTGGGCGTGATCCATACATCACAGGCAAAGTAACGGTCCTGATGCATTCGCGCCGCAGAAGGTCGGCTCTGGGCCATCGCAGAACGTCTTGGCCTTGATGCTCGTGTCCGCGCAGGTCGTCTCTTGCGACGTTCGGATCTTCCCTGCATCGCGTCGAAGCGTCGATGCTGCGATGTGTTTGTGAGAGCAGCGTCGGGCTGCCAGCGCGTACCTGTGGTTTATAACTGCCGTACGAGGCTGCTCTGTGGTCGCAGGGCGATGGCAGTTGTGAGACGTGGCGTATCGCTGTCGAAAACAGGCCGTCGTCCACGTTCCGAACAGAGGCGGACGGACCCAGGCTGCCCAGACGCAATGCGAGCGCACGCTTCGTCGGTACATGTATACACGAGATGCATGCAGACTCACCGGCTCCGCATTCGCATGTATGCCACCCAGCTTCTGCTCACCCTCGCTCCTCGTTCCGTGTACGGTGTACCGAGATGGAGGCGACGGAGCTGCGCTGCAGATCTTCACTGCTCCCCAGTTTCTTTGATGCTCAAGGGTGTCGATGCGATGGCGGGCGAGCGCGCATGCGGTGGTGTTGCCGAGTTATGAGTGAGAGAGCAGAGCGGTCGGTGTGTGTGATTGGGCCGGCTGCGCGGTTGTAGAGCAATGCGAAGGCCGATAGTGTGAGCCGTAAGCTGCGATCAAGGATAACCGACGCTACACGCGTTCAGTGTTTGGCTGATGTGAGTGCACGTCTCACGCGTGTCATCGTTTCTGTGCAGCAACCGCACGAAGGCCGTACCGATGTTGCGCTTCAACATTGTCCTGCCCCCATCTTGTCGAGCACGGCGGCATTTGCGAGCTGAACGCCGAGCGACGGTTTCATGGTGGACGCGGCGTATCACCGTCGAAGAACAGGTCGTCGTCCACGTTCCGGACAGAGGCGGACGGACCCAGCCTGCCCAGACGCAATGCGTGCGCACGTCTCGTTAGTGCGTCCATAAATGAGATGCATGCGAAACTCACCAGCTTCGCGTTCGCACATATGCTGCCCAGCGCTCTGCTCATCCTCGCTCCTCGTTCCGTGTACGGCGCACCGCGATGGAGGCGACCGAGCTGCGCTGCAGGTCTTCGCGGCTCCCCAGTCTCTTTGATGCTTGAGCGTGTCGATGCGGCGTCGGGCGAGCCCCCGTGCGTGAGTCGGCTTGGACACCGAGAATAATCGGTGCGCTTGATGGTGGCGGTGCACGATTATAGGGCAGTGCGAAGATGGAGGCAGTCTCGCGGCTGTGGAGGGAGTATACGATGGTGTGAGCCATATGTTAGAATGCGATTGAGGAGGACAGAGGCCTCGCACGTTCACTGTGCACGCGCGCCGTCTTTGTGTCCAGCAAGCGCACGACGTGGTTCAACGGAGGCCGCTCCCATCTTGTCGATCAAAGGCGTCGAATGCGAGCCGAATGTTGAGCGCGGAGAGACCGTCTCAGTCTGCTAGATGCAATGCGAGCGCACGTCTCGGCATCGCTTCTGTGAAAGAGATGATGCGTGCAAACTCACCAGCTTCGCATTCGCGCATCCACTGCCATGCTTATCCTCGTCTGTCTATCGCGCACGTGCACGGAGAGGTGGGCGACCAAGCTGCACCGTACGTCTTGGGTGGCGCCCTGCAGTCTCGACGGATGCTACAGTGCGAGTCGACGCGGCGTTGGGCCAGGTTAAATTCGACCCTCACACCTCCCCGCGCCCTTGCTAGGCCGTCCAGCACCTATCATGGCGAAGCAGGACCAGCGAATGCACGCCGGGCAGAGGACACTCTGCGCGGCCTGAGTTCGCTCGTCATCCTCCTGTCGTGGATCCGACCACGGTCGATATGTCTTGCGTGCGTCCGTGTGCTCGTGAGCCGTGCTGATCAGGCGAGCGCGTGGGCGGCGGATGCGGCAGGCATGCGCTATCGGCGGCGGTTCGTACACCGTGGTGTTATAGAAAGCAGG